GGCTGTGCCTGAGCACGAGGCAGAGACCAGAGGTGACCCCGAGATGGCCAGGAAGCGCGGGGAGGGGGGCCCTCTGTGGGAGGGGCGCCGGGTCCCCAGTTCCCCGCGGGACTTCCCCCAACAGCTGGGGGACTGGCGGGCGCTGGGCTCCTGAACTCGGGTGCGCCAGGGCTGCCCTGGACCGCACCACTGAAGCAGAGATCGCTGAGGGCTCCTGTGCGCTGGCCACCTCCAGGGGCCGCACAGGCCCAGACAGCCTGAGCAGAGCCGGGGCGCCTCCAGCAAGTTGCCCGAGGTCAGCGCCAGAGACAATGACCACCTGGCACGGGGCGCTTAGGCCGCCAAAGTGCTGGGAGCCCGCAGTGGAGGTGCGTGCCAGGCGAGGCCCGGCCAACCGGTGACCCCGGACACACGGCCGCAGCCAGCAGAGCCCTCAGGCGGCCGCTTGGGGACAGGAGCCGCGCGGGTGGGCAGCGGGTACTCACGCGCCTCCACGGTCTGGAAGGCGTGGATGAGCTGGGAGATGGTCCGCCCGAGATCCTCCTGGCCGGGACAGAAAGCCTCAGCCCCAGGCCTCACGCACAGCCCCCGGCAGGGACGGGCCCGCTGCCGCTCACGCCTTGCTCCGCCCAGGGCCTGGGGTCTCTCAGCCGTGTGCGGGGTTCGAGGCCCCAGGGCGCAGGCCCCACCCCGCCAGGCCCAGCGCCCCACAAGGGGCAAGAACGGAGCCCCCAGCAACCACGGCCCACGGCGAAGCGCGGCCACGGGAGAGGCCGAGCGATGGGGCCGCAGGAGAGGCGTCGGCAGCCCGCCGGTCAGGGTGCGGAGAGGCACCGGTCCACTGGCCAGGCCGAGGCAGTGCACACACGGACACCGACCTGGTGCTCACGGGGCACAAGCCCTCCGTGAGGAAGCGGCCAGCGTCCGAGACCCACCCCGAGCCCTGACGCCCTCAGGGGTGAGACTGGAGGGCCGGCAAGGGGAGTCTGCCAGGCGCTCAGTGCTTGCTGCCCTCGGGGCTCCTGGAACCCGAACTGGCTGAAGACACCCATTGGGGGGTCAGCGGGCGAAACCCCCGGCCCGGAGAACCCTGCTTCTCGCCCCGCACTCTCCGCCGGGCCCTTCGCTGCCCGCAGCACGGACGGGAGGGTCCCCGGGGCCTGGGTGGCTCCTCGGGCTTCGCAGCTCAGCTCTTGGGTGCGTAAGTTTTTAATACGAAAAAGCCATCCAATAGGAATACCAGAGGCCCCGAGCCTCACCCAGCACCTGCGGCTGCACATAAGGGGCCACACGCCAGCGGTGCCTGCCGGCCCGCACACGCACCTGCAGCAGCGGCTGGTCCTGCATCCACATGCAGTAAAACAGCCCCTTCCACACCTTCAGCAGCTCGTCATGGGTGAAGCCACCTGGGCCAGAAACAGCAGAACCAGCAGTCAGGCCGGGCCGGCAGCACTGGACGCCGCCAGGGCACTGTGCCCAGGCGGCGCGGGCGCCCGACTCGGCCCGCGGGTCTGTCCACAGGGGCGCCGCGGGCAGCTGCCCATGAGCTCAGGGACACTGAGGGCTACTCAGTCTGCACGTCCCGAGCCGTACACAGCGCCCCTCGGCCGCGCCCTCCTGCGGGCCGCTAGGTTCCGCAGGGCTGGACAGGCAAGAGCTCCCTCTGAGGTGTCCGGCCGAGCGCCAGCCCTGGAGGGGCCGCCGCAGAGCCACGACCCGAGCGTGCTTCCCCACGGAGGGGCAGGGCGCGAGGACCCCGCACCAGACGGGGCGCCCCCCCACGGCG